AACCATTTACATGTATCTTCATAACATCTTGAACTGTGTAAGCATATGCCTTTGTCTGTAGTGGCCATTCAATTGTCCATAATGTCATATGGGACCCATTAGGGCACCTGGCTTTACAGAGCAGCTTATAAATAGTTATGTGGACAGAAATTTTTCAAAGTCGCTGAAACAAAACTTCAAAATGTGGCGCAGGAGTGGTGTCTTCAGACAAATTACCCAGACAGTCTCTGAGTGCTCAGTGGCACGCACAACCATGGCTGGCAGCCCCGCTGCATTCAATGTGCTCAGCAGTCATAACAGTAATAATGAATCCGCTTTTACATCCAATTAAAATGTTCCTAATAGCATTGTGGCTGCATCGATTTCTCTGCAAATGGCTGTTCAGCTGAGAACATTTGCGCTGAGGCATCTAGAGGGATTTGGATCGGGCTCATCGCACATTGGCTCCGAGTACAAACAAAGAGGGACTGATAAGTAAATAGCCCGTGAGAGATTTATGCTTATGCATGTGTACAGTATATGAGCATGTCAGAGCACAACTTTTAAATGTCTCTTGTATTGTATGGACTTTGGAGACACTGATAATGATGGAAATTTACAACCCAGTCTACTCTCTATCCTTCTCTCTCTAACTTCTGTTTTCCTGAGTGATAGAGATGTAGAGAAGACGGTTAGGGGGAGAGGCTCGCAATCTGAGCTCTCAGAGGGTACGGTGTCCTCATTCATTTTGACAAAGAGAAATGGATAACAGAAGTCCTTCTTAACACTTTGTTAAAGGATGTGGTACAGCAAGTTGGCAAGAAAGGTTCACAATAGCTAGTGTGTTAGAAAACAATTGTGTATTTACACATCCAGCAGAAATGGACCAATTTTATCCTTTACATTTGTAGAAGTGCTTTAGGCCAGTCCAATATTCAGTTCTTTTTGCTCCGTTTAGATATCCACCAAGTCCTTACAAAAACTCGATCAGTCTCTTTATCTGCTTTTATTTAGTTAACGTTACACTGGGTTTAATAGTCTTGGGGAAGTGTTGACTTACAGTAGTTTATAAGCTGTCATTAGTTTTAGATGAATTGCACATTAGGCTACATGGTTGTGCTCTGTAAGTGAAAAACAGGTTACAGTTACACAATTTCTTATAGATATGCAGTGTTCTAAGCTGGTTGGATGGAACGCAGCAGGTGACGCTCATTATAACCACGAGAGACTTGAGACTTGACTTGGACTCTAGCTTAGAGACTTGTGAGCATCTCTGTTAGGGAAACTTTACAATACTACGATGTCTCCACTGGCTGTTACACTAAATCTCAATTTCTCGCCAATGGCCGTTATTTATTCTATTACTTCTCTGTTCCTGGCCTCTTGGACACCTAGAAGGCTCATAATTACAATCCATATTTATTAATGTTAAACAGGACCTAGCTTGGCCGCTCTCCCTTTTGTGATGTCCAATTTGTTTGTTTTGCGTTGAAAGTAACACTCTGTTCCACTAATGATAGCAGAAATTATTTTTTGAAAAATCTAGTTATTTTCCTGCACATTAATTCACTGGGATCTCCAACCTGCAAGTTGCTCTTTAAATAGAATGGTTCGCTTGTTATACTGGCTACCAAAATAAAACAGGAGGAATGCGGTCATCCAGTGTGGTTTGGAGTTGGTTAAACACTAAATATTGAGGGTACAAATAAGATTCTATTTCCATATTTCATATGGGGGCGGGGTACTATACAGCTATAAAAGTCTTATTAAAACAAAATACAAAAATGATCTAAATTCAAATTTTCAATCAAAATTAGTCCATCAGTTTTCAATTCGTTGGACTCCTTGGATTTAATGGTTGATTTCACGGTTGGCTTATCTCCAGGTCACATGATCGCTGAGCTACAACTAGGGAAATAAGTTATAGATTTGTTGAATATTTTTCATAAGCTCAACTAATGCCCAAGACAAGGAGTCAATAACAGATTAAAGAGAGGGAGGGAGTCCATATTAATTATGCTAATAATTTGGATTTGCTACTTCATTAATCACCATTTTAAGCTGGTTGTCTGAAGTCTCTGTAGCAACTGTGTGTAAGAAAAACAGATGAGACACAATGGGAGATTGTGTGCTTGGGAGCGTGCATACATCTGCGTGTGTGCACATATGTGGGCACACCTGCTAATTATTGGATCTGGTAATTATTGTAGAGGCACTCAATTAGGCTCTATTCCTATGTCAATGCGAGGGGACAGTACTGTATGTATTTTAACTGACTCTCAAATTATCTATAGTAATGTTTTATGCAAACGGCAATATTTTCAATTTAAATAAAAAACAGTGGTTGCATAATTTTTGGTGGATATTTTTTACAATTCCTACAGATTCAGTAGATATCTTCCTGCAGTTTTCTGTAGAAAACAGCAGGTGGGAGCAGAGGTCAAAAGAAGTTATGTGACTCCTCTGACTTCTCATTACACTGATATTTTCTTGTCAGAAGACTGATGCTCATATGCTTGTGACTTATGGAATATTCTTATACATTTCTGGTTGTGTTTTTGGAGTAATGAAATAAAAAGCAGTTTGGGAACCAGTGATCTGCACAGTACATGACCAACAGGAAAGAAACATGATACTAATGATCCTAAGCAGGATTAGTGCCTTTGTGGAAACACAGGAAGCCTGAACACCCTGTGGAAAAGCAATTTAAGAACTAAATGACAATGTATTGCCAATGATTCATTTCACATTTATCATCAGCCTTTCTTCTGCAGACATAAAAATGATTCCCTCGACAAAGACAAAGGAAAATATTGGGTCTTTTATGTTCCAATGTCACTGTCAACCAAGAGTGGACCTCAGTTTTCTCTTCTTTCACGTTGAAAGTAATTTAAATGAGCAGAAATAAGATGGTACAGGTTGGGAGGTGGGAACAGGGAGATGAGGCTGTCAAAACATGGCCAAGTCATTTTATCTTGATGTTTTCCCACACTGCAATAATTGATTTGTCTGTGTTCCCAGGCGTGAGTATACAAACATGGCAAGTGGCCTAGAGAGGCATGTGTCTGTCTGATTAACAAAGCAATGCAGCATTCACCAAGTACTTCAGACCTTTCTGCAGCTTCCCTCTGGGTGTGTTCATTTGACAGGACATGATGCAACTTTTCAACAAATACGACATGCTTACATTGATTTCTCGCACTTGCTTCTAGCCTAAGGACTCTTTGGTAGGTCCATCATTAGTAATCCACATCATGTGGACAAGCAGTGCTCATATTTTAAATTCTAGTTGAGATGTCGAGGTTTCCAAAGATTCCAAATGTGTCAGGTTAAATTACAGGGAAATGTGTATGACGTGACTCACAAACATCTAGAAGTTTCCATTTTGATGCAGTGTGGTAACCATAAAATGTTTATTTTGGGTTTTAAAGTTTTGAAAAACGTAAATATTTAATATGTATGTGTGTGTGACTATGTGAAACACACATAAATTAGTAGCAAATAAATAAGGTCTTGGAGTTACAGCACAGGAGTGTTGGTAGTAACAGAGCCGGAACAATGTCTCAGTGAGAAGCCACAGCCGGAATGCTGCCACACAGCTGCATGTTAAAAATCCCTGGTTCGTGCAGGTATCTGTCTGGGAGAAACAGAACCTGGAAAATCCCTGGATCTCAATTCCTGGCATTCAAACCTTCATCCCATTTCCAAGGGACACGATAAAGGGATTCTTGATCTAGTCAGACAGGGCGTTGGAGGTATGTCAGACAAAAAAAGTTGGGAACCACTTTGTAGGTTTTTGAGCATTAACCCATTGCCGTCCCAAACACATTTTCATCAGTAGCCTCCTTGATGAAAGTCAATTTGGAGTGGTGAATTTTATTGCAGTAAACAAAGACAATTTCTGTTCATCTGCTGTGGAATCATACTTAAAAGATTTGTTTTCTGTTGTCAACCTCAACCTGTTTCAAATGTGAGCAGTGTGGAGTAAAGCATAAAATATTTATGTAGACACACCTGAAAACCACTTGAAGGAACATACAACACTGGTGGAAAAAAATCTCTCTTCTGCCATGCCTGCGAGAGTGGTCAGTGCTCCGCACTATTCCCATAGAGGTGGTAGGAATTGGGCTGATTGTGAAGTAGTTCAAAAATCATCAGGCTGGGTGACTGTTTGCGCGCTTGATTTATTTTCACCTGGTTACTGGATGGTCCATATGGTGAACTACAAGGCCACATCATAATTAACTTATAACATCCAGTCCATCTCTTGGTTGAGAAAAGGATTTTGACCTGGCATTGCTTTCAACAATTGCTTTTGACAATGCATGTCTGTCCACAGTGGTTCTACCACTGTTATGAGACGTGGGTTGATTTTACAGTGGTGACACAAAATGAAGTGATGAAAGTGACTATGACAATACTTATGGTATGACTGCTCTAGTTTTCTGTGGATAGTAGTGTATATTCTGTATTAGTACTGAATGTCCCATTATAATAGCTAATTTGAATCCAGACAAAGCTAGTGGGAGTCAAATTCAGTCTATGATTCATATTGGAACAGCTTGAGGCGGTAGATTGGTATGACAACAAAGATTAGAATCTGCAGTTTTTTTTTTCTTTTTTTAACATTTGCAACACACCTGAGTTGCTTAAGTTCACAAATACTGATTAGACTGCCGAAGGCTATATGAGAATGCCAAAGGTAAAATTTGTTAAACAGCAGTATGTCCCTTTTACTAAAAATGTACCCGTTATTCATCTGGATCTTCATGGTACTGGAAACAGTGGAATGAGTGGCAGTTAATGTCTTCTTAAAATAAAAGGAACATTAATGCAAGGTAGTAAGCCAACTAAGCCTTTTAATTCCAGTGTCAGCTGTCAAATAACTGCTATATATTTTTCAAAAGGATGTATTATTTCAAAAACTGTGTAGTTCACAGTTTACCACCAGGCAACATTATGGGTGTTTTCACACCTAACTGTTTAGCTAGTTTTCAAAGAAATTAAGTTCAGTTAACAGATATTTTTATAGATATTTTTTATTTGTTTTTACAGACTTTTTGTCACAACAAAGTCAGCAAGAGCATCTTTTTTTGTCCATTACATTGTAGTAATCAATTTGAAAGCAACCAAGAGAGACCAGCGACCATTTCATAGCGTAAAAGCAGAGGCAATTTTTGACATGCAGCAAAACAGGCAGGGCTTCTAACCGAATCCAAGGCAAGGGAAACACTAGCAGCCCCCACCATCCAGTTTCAACTCTAACCCCCATTTACCCATCATTCAGAGCCCCCAGAGCCCATCAATTACAAAACACAAAGAGAAGCTGCAAAAAAATGGGAATTTTTGCTCTGAAATCTCACTCCAGGGATCACAAAATGAACACATTTCTAAAATTCCTTATTCTATTATTTGCTGTTAACGTTACTTCAAAAAGGGATTCAGTAACAGGTTTTTTAAATTGCAACATTCAAGTCTTTCTAGTTAGCCAGCATGGTGATTGGTCAAAGAACACAGAATATCTTTTATGCATTTCCAACGTAAAATTTGTCAAAAACACCATTTGATATGTAAGTGATATGCCAAGTAGAAAAGGAAAATCAACATTTCCTAAATTTCAAGATTGGAGGGACAGTTTGGTCTATTAAAAAACAAAATCAAGATAGAGTAAGAGGCCACACATAATGAAAGGTCAATATAAAGAAACTTTACAAGCTTTCTCTTTCAATCTACCTAGTAAAGTACAGTGAAATTACTGTTGATGAGATTAAGCCCTGACCATACAATACTTGTACTGAAGGTGTAAAAAATGTTAACACACTATTGATCCATTACCATTTGAATTCTTTACAGTTTTAAGAGAGAACCGCAAATGAGAGATGTGTATTTATGTGCTAAGCTTTGCATTTACATTATTAGAGTGATTTCTAGTTTGAGCAGTGTTCTAGGATCCAGGTGCGAGAGCGCTCCCCCAGTGTTTGGTCCCTAAGGGAGACATAATTGACAAGTCCTTCTGTTAAATGGCTACAGAGGCCAAAGAAGAGAAAAACCTATCCCAAAAACTTGAGGAAAAGAAAATAAACAAGGTAAAGGAAAATCACCAGACAGACAAAATGACCCTCAAACAAACAGACAAAAGCAGTGATACGACAGAGGTTGATTGGGGTAAAAGGGGCAAGTCCATCTTCTGTCAGGGGACCACTGCATCCATCTGTCTGTCCGTTCACCCACCTGTCCAGCCACCTCCCACACTGTGGTGTCTCACTTGAGCAGAGCCTTTATGGCATCGCTCTCGGCAGCTTCAAAGGCACTAATGCCGTCCGGTCCTTTTCGGTCTTTGTCAGCTCCCTGTGGAAAAGAGGGGACATGAATATTAAATATGCTAAGTAGGTGCATCAAGTCTTCCTCACAGTATGATGCCAACTCCACTTCACTGAGTCATGGGTTAAGGTGAGGAGTGAGACCGCAATCTAGAGCCCGTTTTCAAATAGTGTCCTATGTCCGTTTGCATCCAAACAGAGCCAAGTACACATGCAGAGGTGAAGAAAGAAAACTCCAGAGAGCGAGATTCATATGGTCATTGGCACACTCCCTCTATTTTATAATCTGGCTCTGTTGTAACTCGCCGGGAAGTTGAAGTACATTTAACGGTTTTTAAATTCACTAAGCATTACAAGAAATGTCCACAACTCATCCTAATCCTGGTGGGCCGGCTGCTCGCTTCGCCACCTAAAGCAGCCCTTTATACAAAAACAACAGCGAGACAGATGTATGGTCGGCATCGAAGACAATAGGGATACACATACCATCTACATAATGCATTGTTATGTAGTTCATTCCATAATATATCTAAATATTGATGGTATTTTTTTTTAACATTCAATGGCTTTAACAAACACCATTTTCCATAAGTCTTAGACAGCAGAGGTTACAGCTCTAAAGTTGGAAAAATGACATTAGAAAGGAGTAATGGTGAACATTATGGATGGAAACAAACCAAATTACAATGACCCAAGTACCCCCACTGATACATTTATGGGAGTAGATTTTTGTATGCTAATAAATGAATCATTTAACTGTGTTAAGGTTGCAAAATTTTTACTTCTGAATAGGAAGTGGCTAGTGGTCATTATATTTATGGTAGACATTAGAAGTAGGGTTGGGCCGGTAAGATGATGCCATCGTCCATGGCTGAGCAGTCAGAGCGATTGTAAAACAAACAAAAAAAAAAAAATCTAAATTTTTCCACATTAAAGCTGCATGTTTTAATCAACAGGAACATTATTATTATTATAGATTTTAAATATGCTAAGCACCTTCCTCAGAATTCTCTTCTCCCCATACTCAGACACATAGACACATAAGAGGCCTACACCTCAGGTAAACACACCAGCTTGCCCCGCGTCTCTCTAACCCTAATAAGAAGACATTTTTACAGAAAGAAACCCCTAATGAGAGATTGAGTTAAGTTAAAGTAGTTTGTGGAACAGAGGCCAGCCTGGAGTTCACTGTAGGGCTGCATTGGAGTGGTCACCCCTTGCCAATAAAGCTTCCTATAAATGTCTTGCCTAGGTCCATAGAACCTTAGTGAGCAGCTATCCTGGTATGTTACCTAAACATTAATGGTGAAACTTCTGTCACTTTTATTTTCCTCTAACTTAGTGACTAAGCACTTGTCTGGCAGCCTGTCTTTATCCAGACAGCACATGCAAAACAAAGTCACAGACACCGAGGCATAAATCCATTTGAGCTCTGAGGGATAACAGAATGGATGTGGAAGGGATGGGAGTGGACGCAATCATCTGGATTACTAAGGACAAAAACAAACCTAAAAAAATAGAGAGTGAAACAGGAAATGTGTTGAATACACATGTAGTGACAACAGACTTAATGGGCAACAGAGGAGTGGAGGGGCATGGAGTGGAGAGACGTCTCTTTGTTTGGCCTGCCAACTTCAGCCTCTTAGCAGAGGGCTTACAGGGCCACGGCAGAGAGAATACTGTTGCGTGGAGAAGCAAGCATCAAAAACAATGTGGCCCAGTTCAAGTGCCCGGCAGTGTGAGGATGGCTGTCTGGGTGCAAATTCCATGCCATAGGAGCAACAGAGCACGTCCCAAGCAAGAGAGATTTACCAGGGCTGAGCGAGTACCCTGTCAGATCTGCATCTCTAATTGGTAAAGAGACAAAAGACAAAGTGGGTTTTGGCAACTCATAACATGCTTCACATTGTTAGGAAGTGTGCACTCCAGTTAAGTTACAGCCCTCTGTTTGTATACATTTGGTGACTGGTGATCAAAGTCCCTTAGTGGTAGTTTATTTCGCAACCAAACAGTGGTAGATATTTATATAAATAATAAATAAATAAATATCCCCTTAACGCCGATTGTTGCAAATTCGCCTCACACCTCTTCTTTTCAGACTGCAGCTGAGATAGTGTATGTAATTCCCCAATGCCTGTTTGTTTATATCTATGTATGATAAATGAAATGTCTAACATTTTGAGAAATCGGTTTATTAGCTTTCTTGCCAAGAGTTACACGATACCACTCTCATGTAAAGTATTTGTAGTTCCACTGAACTTTTCCAATAGCGGCTGTGTTATTCATATCAGGTACCCGGTTACCAACCATACTTACTACTACTTTCCACTCTAGTGAGTTCAGGGGGTGAAGGGGAGGATAGGAAGAAGCCCCCCCCACAACAACATTACACCTTGACCCTAGCCCTTTCACCAACAATGCTGGGAACCAAACCAGGTGTCTTATCTGTCAAACACAATTATATGCCTTGTGTATACCACCATATTTGGAGGTGGAACAATCTCATTATGAACATTTCCTTCTAGTCACATACCTATAGTGCCCTAAACAATATTCTACTGGGCCTGCCACAGACTAATTCCCTATGGGTATTTGTGGTAGTTACAATGAATAGCTCTATACTCCGCCAATGGCCATCAATGACATACACCCTACAACACTTACATTAATGAGCTTTCCCAAATTTTAAAAACACTCCGGCTAACCGTGACAACTAAATTAGGGATGGTTAAGTGAATGGTATGGATCCCAATTTTTTTTGGAACAGCAATGCTGTAGTCTATATTTAGTGGTAAGAAAATGTTCTATATTCACAAACTATCTCCTGCATGTCTACCCTACTTTTTTTGTCCACGAGCAACTCATCAGCAAGAGCAATTCATCATATGATCTCTCTCTCTCTCTCTCCAAATTAGCTTTATTGGCATGAATGTAACAACATTGCCAAAGAATCATATTTTTTATATATACATATATACACACACACACACACACACACACACACACACACACACACACCCCATAAGAATCAGCCCCATACATTTCATTAAACAAGTAATTACTCTTTGATTACTTTACGCTTTAATCTCTCTTTCTCTCTCTCTCTGTGTGTTTAGAATGTATGAAACTGCCTCTATCCTTGACAAAGGTTGTCTGACTTAACTTGTCACTGGCTATCTAACTTAAGGAAGAGGAAATTCTTCAGTTAGGATTGTTCTGCAATAGCTAAATTCCTATCCTAAGATAGGATTTTTTCCCCCCTAAATGTAATTAGGAAATATCAAAAATCCTAAATGTCATCTTAAACTGAGATAAGATTGGATTTCAGACTTAGGAATGTTATGTAATGAGGCCCCTGGGCTGCAATTAAGACAAGGAAAAGCAGCATATATTCATACTTTAGAAGCTGGAACCATACAATTCCTTGCAGTTTTGTATAAAAAATTACGTAAACGATTAACCAATTGCTGATTCATTTTCTGATGATTCACTAATGATTGTAACTCACTCATGGCACACATGTAAAATCAGCTAGTCTTCTAGCCATGATGGAGTAGGTATCGACACATCATCTTTTACAGTATTCAATTCATGAAAGTAGGTTTTTTTAATCCCTGTGCAAACGAAATAAAATGTGGATATGGCTTTTGTGTGAAAAGGAGCACAAAATGTCTTTTATACTGTCTAGGTCTGAAATCTTATTTAACTCATCATTAGTAACCCTTTTCCAGGTAGGGTAGAATATCCTGAATAGACACTGTACGGAAGAGACCTAGGCAAAAAAAACAACAACATTTATTAAATTTTTTATCCCACTAGTTTTTGTGTTTACCAGTGTGTACTTACTTTAAAATGAAATGTCTAACATTTTGAGAAATCGGTTTATTAGCTTTCTTGACAAGAGTTACACGATACCACTCTCATGTAAAGTATTTGTAGTTCCACTTAACTTTTCCAATAGCGGCTGTGTTATTCATATCAGGTACCCAGTTACCAACCATACTTACTACTTTCCACTCTAGTGAGTTCAGGGGTTGAAGGGGAGGATAGGAAGAAGCCCCCCCCCCCCCCCCCTCACTTGCTTGCTTCTCCAGCTCTGGGGAAGTCATTATCAGCTGGTTCAAGACCATACCTAGTAACTGACTCTACAGGTCTAATTTAGATGGCAAGAAACAACATTACACCTTGACCCTAGCCCTTTCACCAACAATGCTGGGAACCAAACCAGGTATCTTATCTGTCAAACACAATTATATGCCTTGTGTATACCACCATATTTGGAGGTGGAACAATTACAGTATTCAATTCATAAAAGTAGGTTTTTTTAATCCCTGTGCAAACGAAATAAAATGTGGATATGGCTTTTGTGTGAAAAGGAGCACAAAATGTCTTTTATACTGTCTAGGTCTGAAATCTTATTTAACTCATTAGTAACCCTTTTCCAGGTAGGGTAGAATATCCTGAATAGACACTGTACGGAAGAGACCTAGGCAAAAAAAACAACAACATTTATTAAATTTTTTATCCCACTAGTTTTTGTGTTTACCAGTGTGTATCTATGACAGCATATGAGGGGTATTATGTAGGTTAAATTATTTACGGGGCTGGGGGAGGGGGTATACAGAGAAAAAAAAACAGACTCTGAGATTAATGTCGTAAATTTATGAATATGTGAAAATCTTGAATATTCTAGGATTATAAAGTCATAAATTTGCCGAAAATATTTTCAGATGTGATTGTGTTATTAAAGACTCTGTACTCTGTATTAAAAGCATGTTATGCAGATGTTAATAACATAGGATCTAAACTACTGTCACCAATCAGTATTGAGAGATATTTACTTCTGTTCAAAAGCCCAAAAGCATAAAAAAAAATTGGGTAAGAAATGCAGATATTCACGATAGTAAAATGTGATACGTGCTTTCAAGTGGCTTTGTTGTACTCTTCCACATCTGCTGAACTGTCAGAAATGTCCACCTTTTCTTTTGTGTCTGCACAATTATTAATCACTGAAAAAAAACTCAGAAACCAGCAGGAAATGACATGACAAAATAATATTATAACACTTCTTCCTAGCCAGTGGTCATGTACGCAGTTCCTCATAGAAGAAAAGGATCCGTGAGTATTCGTGTGCGTATGCCTGTGCGTGCCCTTTCATTGTTGACTTAAAATTAACTTGCCAGGCTATAGTCAGCACTCTCGGCCACGATCTTCAGGGCTTGGTCACCTATTGGGGTTAAAATGGCCTTTTATAATTCATTGCCAACAACAACACAGCACTCAGTCAGGGGTCAGCTCCCATGATGCACTAGGGAAGCAAGCCATTCTGTGTGATAACACAAGAATGTCTGACAGTCTAATAGTCACTATTCAGTATTCTCAGTGGGCTCCTTTTTCAACTGCAATGTTAGTGGCTGTGGTGCAGCAGGTGCTGTCAGACAGAGTGGATATGCAGCAGCACAGTCAATGGTGTGGCTGTGGGACAACGTATTAATCTCATGTTAAGACACATGCTGAGTTTTCAGAGCTGCCAGGGGTAGATGTATTGAGATCTAGTCTCTGTTGTGACTGATGACCTTTTGGCTGCGTCTGGGTGTTAATCCTCGTTGGTGCTTAGTGGAGATGAGTACAGAGCCATGAGAGGAGCAAACCCGTGGGTTCGCTCATATCTTCGCTTTGCACCATAATCCCTGTTCAGATGAGCTATATGCTGCCTGTTTTGTCTCATGATACTAGACAATGGCTTTTAAAAGCAAAATAAAAGTGTCCACCCAAGGGCCTTTCACTTCTAATGTAGTAGTGGTACTTGCATAGCGGACTATTTCAGATGTCTTCTGGTCAAGAAGAGCTTCTGGCTTCCAGGGGGATGTACTGAGGTTGTGGCTACGTGACTGGTACCAGGGGAAATAAAGGAAAATGACTGCACTCAACAATAAAGACAGTATGTTGATTTTAAACCTAAACCCTATCATTGTTATGTACCATAGGTGGCATGTGACTAAAAATTTCTACCAACCAAGAAATTATTCAACCATCTTATCATAATAATAATGCAAGTTAATACAGGCTTATGACAGAATAAACTACTGCAAACCAAACAATAGCTCTGTGTCGAATAGACGTTGAAGCAGAATGATGTACCTGCCCATGCATGCCCAATGTTACGTTAGCAACTTTTATGGGAAAGAACTTACTGAGTAGTAAACTGCTATTTTCTTCCTGTTGGCCTTGGCCGCTTCTTTCGGTTTATCTGTGAGCCAACAGCAATGACGCCAGCTGCTGGCCAGCTGCTGGCCGAATGGTTGCAAGACACTGCTGGCTTGTTGATGCGAGGGCCGGGGTGTGCGGCTGTGTTGATGAAAATGGGGGATTAGTACAGCCGATGCCAACAGGAATAAGTAAGCAGTGGAGTACCACGTAAGTGTCTCTTTAACCAAACACTAGTGTTTTTCATACATGGTACACATTACTATTTCCTCTTTTCAAACGTCTGCTTCAAAGCGCAGTTTAAACTGAACTGAATGAAAAGTCGGCCTGAATGGTGCATATGTGATTGTATAGAGTGTAAAAAATGACTTCCCTAATGGGTAGTGTGACTTGTGAATGCCCCCTCCCCTCTTCCCATTACTTTAGTTGAGCCAAGATGATGCCACCGTGAAACAACTCTGTAGAGGAGCTTTCATTTACCCTGCCTCATTTAGCCTGGCTGGAAACAGGCAGCTGCTCACTTACCCTCAGCCTCCCATCTCTCCATCTCGTATACACACATCGGCTTGCAGCACACTTCGAGTGTAAAGCATTTGAGCCATCTATGTGACCGTGCCTATTGCTAAACCAACGCTCTCTTGCAGGAATGGCACGCAGCTACTAGATTTAACCAAAAGGCATGTCTTCCTTTAAGCATGAGCTACAGATATAAAAAGAATATTAAATCAGGAAGTTGTCAGCTAATGAAACATATATACAAGTGTTAAATGACAGAGGAGTACCAGAGACAAAAAACCGAAGCGGGGTACTGAAAGACAAGTCGTAATGCCCTATGCTTTTTGCAGTGCGGAATAGACAGATGGAATCATGGAACTGGATAATAAAAACGGCATCAACTGTAAAACGCAGAATATAATGGAATTTGCCAAAATGTGGATGCAGTTTATAAATTTGAAGAAAAAAAAACAACAAAAAATGGGGTTTTCGTTAAAATTATAAAAAAAATTCCACAGCACTTAAGCCAAATGAAACTATGCTATGTTTTGGTGTCATTTAGGGGCACGCTGCACGTGAGAGTAGCCTCCGTCAGACCCCCTTATTGCCGTGGTGTGTTCGAACAGTATATGGAGGCTGTCCTTTACACTTGCTTCCTGTCTGTCAAAAGAACTGATTTTAAAATGCAACTGTTTTTTTATAAAGAACTGAATGGTTTAGGGTTAAAGTTACATTTCTGATGATCTCTTACGTTATGAACCATTCAGACCTCTTAGGTTGTCTGGGACAGGTCTGCTTTCTGTCCCCAGTGTCAAAATTAAACATGGAGAAGCAGCATTCATTTGTGCACCATATATCTACAACAAACTTCCCGAAACTGCTGCAACTGTCAGTTCTTAACAATTAAGGCTAAAGACATTTCTTTTTGCTTCTGCCGCCTTTTATTATATTCAGAAGATTTATACTTACATTGCAGTCTAACTTTCATTGTCCTGTTTTATCTTGTTTTTATTTTCTATTTAAGACATTTTATTTAATTATATTTAAATGTATTTCCCTATGTTGCTTTTTTATTGTATGTAAAGCACTTTGAATTGCCTTGTTGTTGAAATGTGCTATACAAATAAACTTACCTTGCCTATAGAAGAGCCGTGGGAAGAACTGTTAATAGTCAACAACTGATTTACCAGGGGACAATTCACAATACATGTATTGCAACAGTACTGTTGGTATATTATAGTATTTTAATACCCTGCTGTTGCAATACTTTTGTGATTTGTCATATATGTCCCATAAATAACTGTACATGCATTTAAATATTTCTACATGGATCTCTGCATGATAAATCAAATTCATTGACACTGAGTAAACTTAAATGCTTCAAATGTAAAACACAGAATTCTGAAAAATTTAAACAGAAAACATGGAAAAATTAGGATGGATTTCATAATAAAGTAGCTATTGTGGACCCCATTTCTGTGACATTCGTTGTCACAATTCCACTGTAGTCTGGCTCATTTGGGCAGTGGTGAAAGAACTCCACCAGCCTAGATGAGCAGAAGATGTGTCATTTATATGTATATGACTGGTGTGCAAACATTCAGGTAAGACGTGCAAGAAGAGGCACTGACATTCTACCTCCACCTACAAATGAGGCGTTCTATTTGACTGTGATGGAGATGCACAAATCTTGTTTTCTTCTGCTGGATGACGTTTGTTGGATTGGACATTCATTATGGTATGCTCATTATTCAGCTGCATTTCTACATCCTATGCCAGCTGTGCCTGACTCAGTATTGTCTCTCTCCTCACAGCTGTGACTGTGTGCGCACATTCCCACATGCATCTTTTTGACTGAGGTGAAATTTAAGATAGTTCCAGAGCTAAAGAACTGAGGGAGGCTGGGGTGGAAGGATGAGGAAGACATTTAGATGGAGCAAAGGCCTGAGCACCTCTGAAACTGAAAATGAAACTGCTTAAAAACAGACACAAAACAAGTGAACAGCAGTAATACTGTGCAATGTACTATGAACATTCCAGCACAGCCTCCACAGGACTGATTTAAAGGGCCTTTTGTCCAATGAGTTACCTCATCAGCACTCACGGCTCACATAGAGCCACTGACAAATCAACAGGCACTGAGTGGTGAAGGACACCAAGCACTTGTGTGCGCAGATTCAGATGTATGATTTGAGCATGCTCAAATAAAGTACCAACCTTTTCTAGCAGGACCTTGACACAGGAGAGGTGACCCTCAAAACAGGCAGAGATCAGTGGAGTGAGCCCGTGTTTGTCTGGAGCCTGTATGGGGAGCGGGTGGGAAAGTCGTGAGTGGGAGAAAAAATAACAAAGGAGAACCTCACAGAATTTTTTGGAGAAAAGCTTCATATATCAGCAGATCATAGGAACAACTGCATTCCTACTCAGTGCTACATTCCTCTTTTATCAAGACTAAATAAGAAAAATAAATCCTCAAAGCAAAGTTTTAGTCCCCTGTAAAACTTATCATGTTCAGAAATTATAAGAACAGGGTATACATATACACACACACACACACACACACACACACACAGGAATCCTGAAGTAAAACTCAATACCTTTTAAGACCTTTTCAACATATTTTAAGACTGCTGCGCCACTTTGAGCTATAACCAGTTCAGTCAGCAACACACCTTTAAAAGGGACATTGGGGAGTTTTAAAAAGTTAACTCTCCTGCAAACGCCGACCAGTTGATAACTACCTGACAGTTTTTAAAAATTTATTTTCAGGCATAAATATGTAAAGTGTATGCTGTTGGTTGCAATCTGAAACCTTAATGCTAGAAGCCACTAAAACTACACAACGCACCTTTAACTTACATTTACTTTTTTTTGTGATAACTTTCATTGACCACTGTATAAATACAACAAAATTCAAATACGCCAGAAGGGAACAAAGTTTGAGAATAAATAGAGAAATGGATAACGTTAGTAGTATAAGGCAGTGTAGCACAGACATTCACGATCAACAGCTGCTGTCTGCATCCTATAGCTGATTTGTGTAAATGTTTTAGTACAATGACTTCAGTTAAACAGATGTAAAATAGAACAAGGAGAACATGTTGGTCTCAGGAGGAGGAGGCTAAAAGTTTTGCTCTGGCTAAATCTACAGGGGCTTTATCCACAACCTGGAGAAGGAACTAGTATAAATGAGTGTATAAGTATAACATTTAATATAATGTTTATTGTTAATATTGATTGATATAATAATTGTATGATGTTACTATATCTATTATAATTTTATATAATAGTATATAGTTTACCACCGTTACATTAATTCTAGTTACAGCAGTTTCATTTTGGGTTTTTTTTTATTCATTAAAATGTTCTACATGGTAATGTTAGTCTATTTAATTTTAAGTAGGCTACTAACTCATCAATAATCGTAACTATTCATGCAGAATGATGAGTTCATTTGGAAAGCTGTGGCACATCAAACTTTTTTTTTTTTTATATCCTGCTCTATTCAGGCTGTGGCTGAATGGAGCAGGCTATGTGACATAAATAAGTTCACCCACTCTTTTACCATACAAACCCTTTGGGCAAAATATCTAGAAATTTAATACCTTGTTAAATGGTGAGTAAGACTTTAATACTTTTTATTGGCCTTAATTTTTGCAAAACCGATTTATTACCCTTTAAGACTTTTTAAGACCTTGCGGACACCATGAAGAAAGCTTACTGTGCTGCAAATCTATATTTATCTCCTTATTTTTAATCTCATATTTCAGTTGCTGAGCTGGTTTCCAATAGAAAGGCAAGGCAAGACTGACTTTTGGTACACCTTTAGATCCTTGTGTCTGTAAAGACTGAACCAGCGGACCCTTTGCTGTTGAGCTGCTGTGTCCAGCATCCTTGAGCATCAGCAAGCACCCTAGAAACTCTATAGAACACAATTGATCTACAAATAACAGACAATCATCTAGGCCTTGTAAATTGTAGTGCAAATTGTTTATCCAATGTTGGACTCACATTTATCACAAAGCTCTGCTTCCTGCCATGGCTAGATGTGTACAGGAGTACACAGGTTCATGCAGCTGCTTTGCACATACAATTCTGCTGGTTACTGAACACGCATATGAGACCTTTAGAAAAACCTGCAAATTATGAAAGAGCTCCTTCCAAATTACAGATGTCAATACTGTTGGATAGTTAAGTGCCCTTTTAGTGGATATAGATCAAACTACTGCAACACCACTAGAAGAGACTGTTGAGGCTCAGGGGGCCAATCAGGGTAAATGTGAGGCCTGGTAAGCCTAGACAGTTTTTGAATGAGAGAACAGACAATGGCTGAAACAGCATACGATGAATTGGTTTTAACAGCTGGACTACTTTAGTTCAAACAAACTGATAATGCTCATGCCAAATCAAGCAGTTAAAAAATAGGCTTAGACGATGAAAGGTACTGTTATTTTTGTGGTCACTGCAACCTTGGATAGTAGGCAAATTAATGCAAAAAGAATGTGAGGGTAGCTTGTAGCTAGAGGTCGACCGATTAATCGGCCGATTTTTGGCATTTTTTAACATAATCGGCATCGGCCAATATCCAAGTATATGAAGCCGATTATTAGGCAGGCGCATCTGTGGGCAGCCTAGTGTTGTCGTGGAACACGTGTTTGACGGGCGCTGCCGCTAGAGTCATTTTCCAGCCGAGTGAGCAGCAGACCTCATCCAGTGCCTAAGGAGCTAACGGTAAGGATTCAATTCTTATTACTCCTTTATATTTAATTAAAAACTTTTGATATGTTACTGCCAACTTCGAGAAAAAACCTGAATAAGACACATGACATTCGGCTAATTTGGATCGTAGTTGAAGTTGCATTATCACAGAAGAGTTGCTATCATGTCACAATAAGTAAGCAATAATTTTGCAATTACAGAGTGAATCTGAGACTTTTATTTGTTCTGTTTGTGTGTCTTATATTTGAGAGGGTTGTCACTCAATGCAGAGAAATAAGTAATAAAAAAGAGACCAACGCACTATAGGCTAGTGACAGACTGGCTTTGCTTTGCTAACGGGTAGCTACAGACAGACCCGGTGCTAATACGGCACTGGAACCTTAACGACCGTTATCTACCGCACCGAATATCAACGCAGATTTCTGTGCTTCAGTTCTGTGAAAATAGAGGTTAAAAACCAAGCAAATATCGGCCAAAATAAATCGGCAGCATTAATCGGCCATCGGCCGACCCGGATTTCAAAAGATCGGTATCGGCGTGAAAAAAACCATATCGGTCGACCTCTACTTGTAGCTGTAGTCTTACATTGACATCTGCTCCCTTAGAGATGAGGAACACCACCACATCTGTCTGACCAAAGTCTGCAGCGTAATGCAGGGGCTTCCTCCCACCTTCCAGGGTCCGGTTTACATCTTCAGCCTGAAAGAGAGGAAGACAACTGAAATCAATAAACTCAGTGTTGTGACAAGCCAAACAATATGCATTCAAAGAGAGATCTGGGTGGATCTTTAACTTGAAAACGGAAACCCTCACTGTTGATACAAACATACTGAAATTCAGTGACAAACAAGTGTGTGCACTATCCTCTCCCCTTCACTTTCCTGCTGTGGTACTTTTAGACATCAGACTGTCAGCCAAGATAAGAGACATACACACCCATCACCCTTTCTCGTTCCCGTACCACACTAACCACGCACGCACGTCATAGTGCGTGCCAGGTGGCTCTCCAGTAATAATACCTAATGGAAGACATATCAGTCACAAATGTGGCTGTCAGTTCTAGTTTTCTCAAAACTGTACACGATTAACTATTTGTCTGGCTAAAAGATAGAGGCAAGTGGGGCAATTTTCATTAATTCATTAGCTGAGAAAATGTGCCTCCATAAGAAATTATATGAGTAGAATTTGCTAAGGCCATGGAAAGCAGGAGGTAGGGCTGCCTGATTTGGAGAATAAGTCATATTGCGATTACTATGGACAATATTGCGATTCGATTATAATGGAAGAAATGGTACTGTGAGTCTACTTGCTTAATTATCAAGGGATGCACAAAATACTGACATTTTGAAATGTGTATTTCTCAACTTGAACAAAGTTGTTGTTGTAAATATTGTTTATTGTTCAAGTAAAACAGATTTAAAAACAGAACAAGGGGAGCAAATTGCTTTACAGAGGAGGTGGCTAGAAGCAGCAAATATTGGCACACTGGCACCGGCTCAATGTACATCTGTCTAATGCAGAGTCTCCATCCATAACCTGGAGGAGGAACTGTACATGAGTTTATTATAGGAGTGTAATTGTACACAAAAATCTTGGTTTCGTTATGTACCTCGGTTTTAAAGTCACGGTTCAGTTTATTTTCGGTACAGTAAGGGAAACAAATCCAAACATTAAATTGCTGCTGGTTTATTATGAACTTTTGTAAACATCCAAATTAGTTAACAATTTTTTAAGTACACATAAGTAAATTACATCAAATAAAAAATAAGAAATAAAATACTGCTGCAAAGTAACAAGTTCTACACTAAATAAAATATTCTCAAAACAATACCACATATAGCCAACAAAATATAATAAAAAATATATAATATGGATTACAGTGCAGCATTCTTCTTATTCTTTTATTCCATCAATGAGCATTATCAATCCCAGCTTGAAGAAAAAAAACAACACACAATAAACTTTTTTGAAGTCTAAAGTCTGTTTAAATGCCGAAAGGCGTTTGCACTGTGTTCGTTTTTGTTTTCCCCCCTTGTTGCAGTGATGTTCTCCTTCGTGTGATACCATTAGTGAGTTAGCAATTTTGACGTGTTGCTAGAAACATACACGATCACTACTGCGAAATGGCGGCCGACAGCTTTCGTCTTATCAACTTGTCAGTTATTATGTTTCACTGCAAACGGAAGTGTTCCCAAACAGAAGACCTTGACAATAAGGGAAGGTTTTCAAGCTCTGGCTTCTCTGCACTGGCTGTGATGCTTAATGGTGCTTTCAGACCAAAAGCAAAGCGAGCGTTCGGGGTGGTGAGTTTACATACAAAGTCAATGCAAAGATGCGTAGAGCCGCGATTTCCTTTCGGGTGGCGCGAAGCGACGCGAAGGGGGCGGTGCCAGTGACACGAAGCGAAGGCAACGCAAAGGATTCGCATGGCGCTGAATCGCGATAGCTTATCAACATTGAGATTGTCTGTACGTCCCCGACAGCTTCAGAGCGTTGTGTGGAGAAGGCCAGGCAGAGTGGGCAACTGAAAATCTGCTGGCCGACGAAGAGCTGCTAAACTTGGGAGAGAGGAGCAGGGAGCAGCGCTCCAGCTTTTGGAAATAAACACCTGTAGTTGGACTGGATTATGCTCTGACAACTACGTTGTTTGCTCGCGGGAGGAGCTTGGAGTAAACTGCTTTTATTAAATTAGCTTTTTACTTTAGTTTTTGGGATTACAACGTTGATTTATCTTCACTCGAGCTTCTCAGCAGCTAGATTCTGTGCACATCCGGTTACAGTGTTGTTAGTGCCGTTTGGTACTACTTCATATTTATATAAAAACCGGACAAAACTGGACATTGCTGGGAAAAAATAAAGTGAGGAGGTTGAAATACCTGGTGAGTTCAGAAAATATGTAACTTTATTGCAGCGTATGTAACTTTATAGTTGCACTTTACTGTGAAAAAAGATAGCATAGCCCTGATCGATCCGAACTCCATTCAGAAAACAAACATTTTAGAAGTTGTTGTCCTGCTGTCTTGCTGACAGACCTGAATTCATACGTTTAACAAATCTGCATCATATTGTAGTTAATTTCAATCAGTTTGAGCCATTTAATCACAGCAAATTGTTTACTTTGGGTTGATACAGCTGTAGTAACGGTGAGTTGTGTTTATTCCGGGTTTATTCGCGTTGTGTGTGAACACTCAATAGTTGTCCAGCGATAAAACCCCTGTGAGGAGAGCGTTGCGTGGATTAAATTCTCGTTTGATCTGAATGCCGCATAAGTCACTAGTTAGTGAAAGGCTAGGCTAAAGCTGCTGCTTGTGTAGCGCTGTAGCACACAGAACAACCGGAGCGCCGCCATTTCTCCCGGTGTTGCGGTGGCAAGTCCGACAACGTTTTGAATGATTAGCGGTGGGGCGGGGAGGGGGGTTATGGTAGGTTGTGTCTTAAAACGTGTACACTGCTCATAAAACATTTTTCTCATTGCACATAGGCTTATCTGTTTTTAGGGGCACATGCCCGGTGTGGTCGGAGATAATGAGCAGACAGCAGTGCACACACAGCAGAGTGTCTCACACACTTTCACTGTTTTATCAAATTGCACACTTTTTGCAGTTATGTAATCGCACATGACGATTGCCATTGTGATTATATTAATTGTGCAGCCCTACTCCACTGAAGGTCAAGTACACCACACTGAAGACAATTCTTCATTTTACACCCAATCCCACTGAATCTATTAGCAATGATGGATATCTAACCTCGACCTCTTGTGATAGTGTTTAAATGTCACCACACTATAGAAATGGACAAAGCACTGCAGTTGTTCATACCCAGACAGCCTATGACATACACTAGGACCGTCAGAAATGAGAAAACAATCCAAGTTAATGGAAGCGTCTGAAAGTAAACTAATATCAAATTCTGCTCAAAATTCAGCAACTATTATCAGGGCTTAAGCTGATAATACACAGAGCAACTTTTAGAGCAATGGTGCTGGGCAATGTTCCCGTCAATGGTAATGAGTAAAGATTACTACCGTAATCCCCTTCCCCCACCATTCGCCCCGCCCCACCACTATCCGTCTTCGCCGTCACTATAAGTCGGACTTGCTCCCAGCACGATTTCCCAGTAACATTGCTCAAAAAGTTGCCCCATGTATCATCAGCTTTAGATTCATTATTAGTATGGTGATTTGTAAGCCAGATAATATTCAAACCATGGGGTCTACGCATCAACTCTGTATAATATGCAACTGTGTCCTGTTGTATGCTCTCAGCTACATTTATGTCTCATCTTCTCAACAATATTTAGCTTTCATGTCACTGAAAAGTTTCAACTAGATGATATCCAAGAATCCACAAATAAAAACACAATTTTTGACTTTACTAGGGTGAAAGTATGCGTGGTTGAAACATACTGAGTATGCATGTGAAGAGCGGAGAAGTTAATTATACTTCAAGAGTAGCCTAGTCTTAAAGCGTTATACCATCTGTGAAAGCTGGTCAATATCAGAATATACTACAATAAACATCAATTCAGCCAGACTGAAGCCCACAGTGGGAAGTGTTTGAAATTCCAGAGAGAGAGTTTAGGCATTAAACAAGCTAGTAATTGAACAGTCTGATTAAACACACAGTCTTTGCTTGGATGGAGTATTTTTAAACTTCAACTGAAAGACACATTAAAAGGGCCCAAAAAACAATGTAATTTTGCTTATTTTAAAAAGATAATGTGCTGTCTTAGGAAATAACATCTACATATGTATACTGTAGTGTAGTAATTTATGGAGCACAACTGATTAAGAATCCAATAATAAACTATACAGCTGTCATTCAACTATAAGGCTGAGGGGTGGATTAAATGCAGAGAAGGAATTTCGCTATATGTATAAAGTATACCTTACCTTATCTAAGCCAATATCAAGTTGGCGTTTACAATAAATGAATTTAATACTTTGTACAACAAAGGGCCTCCTCCAGCAGAGACAAGAACACAAGCCTTTTCTACAGGACCAAGGGACACTTTAAGCTCTGTAGTGAAATAAGTGTGGACTAACTAGCTTAGGCAAATACTTCTCTAAAAAGAAAAGAGTCTTCCAAAAAGACTGACCGGGTGCCGCCAGGTTTATTACTGTAGCCGGGCCTCCATCTCCTCCTTGACTACAGCTGAGACCCCCGCCCACTAACGTTAGCTCTGCTGGAGCCCGGGCCCGTTTGGTGTTTAGCTCGCTAGCAATTAGCTATCTCACATCCACAGAGCATACAGTTTATGCTCTATGGTTGTCAAAGGAAAACCATTCTGCCGACAATCATAAACACTGTCCAACAGCATGTGCTCTAATCAACTATTGACGCTGCTGCTGCTGACATTATCTTAAGTTACAATGGACATAACGGTAGCGGATAGCCGGCTAACGTTATCCACAATGTGGAACGTTACCAGCTGATGCTGTTGCTGGTTAGCTTAACAACAGGTTGCTTTCTGAGGGAAGTGGCATCGATATAACTTCTGCTAGTCGACCTAAACGAACACCATACTTAAAGCCAAACCCACCACGTTTAAAGTACTTAGAACTATCACTAATTACCGTTATACGGTTGGAGCAAAGACAGTTAAAATTACCAAATTACCGACCCATTGCCAGGTAAGAGTAGCACGGCGTGTCGCTAGCTATGCTAATGTAACTTGTCGTTCAGAAGTCACTAAATTGTGTTAACTTTACGCTAGCCTTGAAATGTTTCGAAACGGATTCAAGCTGGATTAAAGCTCAACATACTACAAATAACGTTACGAATCCCCCAAGACCTGGTAGCCTGCCAATGTTAGATTACCTAACTTAACATTACCCAACTCCAGCCGTTAACGTTAGCTAGCTAACGTTAGCCATCCTACCAACTGGAGTTCGTTAACTTAACGTTAGCTAAGCAATCACTTGCGAGAAAATTGTTGCCCACTGAAAACATCCCAGTTGTCTTACCGTTACCAGTTTGGCTTGGACCTCATCCAGGTCCCCGGTTTTCAATGCCCACATCAATTCTTTATCTTCCATCTTCCTGTGTTTGCTCCGGTGTTGCTCCTTCCCTGTTATGCTGCAGGGCAGTTGTCAAGTTAAATGCTAGTGCGTTAAAAGTTAGCTAGCTAGAGCTGGAAAACTATTCTTGTCGTCGCGCTGAGTCGGTCGTAGAACTCGACCGAGGGAATGCAATGTCGTTATAATACGTAAGACAACAATTTTAGTCTGAGCTGGCGTGTTACTAGGACCCGCCGATGTATGGCAGGTAAAAATAGGCTCAAAAGAAGTTCTGAGAGGCAGAGAGGGATCCGCCTTTCTGCAAGCCAGAAGTGTTTCTGATGTTACCCGGAAGTTAACATTAAAGAGGAAAGCTTTATGTTGCATTTAGGTGGAAACGTTTTGACAGGAATAATTCACACATTTGTATTACAGAACACATGCCACGCGGTCTAAGGTATTCATTGCCTACACTTAATGATAATAATTTGTATTATTTCCGCACGGAAAACATATGCAGTTAATGAATGATGACTTATTGCTTGTAACTTCAGTTTTTTTTTTTTAACCACAGAAGTATAAAAGCGGAAATTCTTACCCTTGTATGGCTCTTGACCGTAGGGCGTAACCGCATTTTTGTATGTCCTGGCAAAATAAAGCCTATCACATCAGCCCTCCAGTTCTGTTCTCCTGTGCACAACCAGTAATTCATCATTTAGAAGAAAATACAGCCTATGGATAGGCTACATATAAATACATAAATAAAATAAAAAATCCATCAGTCACTTTGGGATTTAATGGAATGCTAAATAAACCGAAAATTGTTAAGTCGATGTAATGATGTCATCACTGGGGTTGCTGTACATGTATTTACCTGACTTACAATTGATATATGTCAGAGGTAGCACATCTCAGGAGCAACTAGGGGTTAAGTGTCTAGTTCAGGGACACATTTGTGGATGTGTCACAGTGGACATGTGTCTTATTCACTGCGTCATCAACACCCCTGGTGCAGGTTGGCTAAGATCAGATCTTGTTATCAGTTGACCAAGGTTTATTTCCTGTGAAAGGTCAGCCTCAATGAAATACCTATGTACTGTAATGCATGTATGGCAGAGTGGGGCTGTCCTCAAAGATCCAGTGGTCCTCCTGACTGATGTTTTAACTGAACGCGGCTAGTCCTTTCAGGGCACTTGGGGATCCAAAGTATCTATTCATTGGCGATCTCTGCAGCATCTGTCAGAAGCAGTCTGCACTTTCAGGGCTGTCTCCACTGTCATCCACCATTTGAAGAACTGCTTAATCAGTCCCTGATAAATTGAGGATCAGCTACAGAAAGACAACAGGGCAAGAGGTGGAGGAAGAAACACTCTTTACTTTACCTTGATCTGTAAAGGATCAAGGGCAGAACAACACATACAAAGCCATACAACTGCCTTTTTACCATGGCGTCGCCACTAGAGCCTCCCACATCTGTCTCCTCCTTCCACTTTTTGCCCCCTAACCTCATTCTCCTAACAAAGCCAACTGTACATCCTCTCTACAGACTCCTTTTGAAATATAGGTTATGACAAAAGTGTTGTTGCGCTATCATTACATGAAATCAGCAGCCCCTTGGAAAAACCAATCTGTCCAGAGGATGAAGAGGACAATAAAAGACACCATTTTGAGAAAATTCAATATGGCAGTATGAACCGAATAAAAATGCAGATAATGAGATTCCCCCACCCATCTTTCTTCCTCCTCCCCCTGGCATACCTCCCCTTTACACAATGCTCCCCCTGAAACTTCTCACCTCTCTCTCTCTCTCTCTCTCTCTCTCTCTCTCTCTCACACACACACACACACACACACACACACACACACACACACACATAACATACTGAGCTACTGAAACACAGGAATTAAAAGTGCTTTATGTGATAGTAATAAACTCTCCTTCTAGTGCATGTTGGAGATTTTACACTCAAATGGTAATAAGGACACAGATGATTACTATGGTTTCTCTTGCCTGTTATGCTAATGTGGCATATATGACTGAAATGGCTTCCAGAATGGGTAACTGCAAGTTCATATGTTGCTCAAATCAGTTGTGGTCCAAGTAGTCATGACTGTAATAATGATGTCTGCATACTAATTTTCTTCTGGCAATGTAGCAATTACCCCATTAGTATTTCATTACATTTGTTTTGACTGGAAAATGGATAATTTATTTGATAAGAATACTTGTACTTGATGTATATTTTATTATTTGCAGTAGTTTAAAATACACATTTGCAGTGTAAATAGCACATTGTATAGGTGTTACTGTGGCAAAAATAAGCTGTTATGTGAGCTGTTATGTGAGCACAATGACATTTATTTTATGTATGGACTTCAGTGACAAAGCTTTCCGTCTGACATTCTATCCATAGGCATGACAGCATGACACATTCATCTATTAGCTGCGCTCAGGCAGCAGAACTACACTTTGCAACTGTATATGTTAAAAAGTCCAGAAGGGGCCTGACTCAAACACACTCTCTTCTCGCCCTGTCATTCAGAACATTGGATAATACTTCATTGAAAGCACATATGTACTTCTCAATAACTACTAGAACATTCAGCACTTTGCAAATAAAATAATTGATATAATTAACAGACATAATGTCTGCAGTAAGCCAATTAGACTTTTTTCATGGATCAAATACAACCTTTTTTATGAGGACTGAGACAGTCTGTTCTCTTCAATGAGAGATTATGATTGATGCCTTAAAGCTGAAATAGTACATTTTGTATTGCTAATGGTGCATGAATGAAAAAGACACATTATTGAGTGGTATCCACAAGAGAATATACAAGACCTTTTACAAGTGCAATTTTGAAGTGCTGAAACTTTACTTGAGCATTTTGAGATTTTATACTTTAACCTCATTTTATTTCCAAGGGCAATACTGTATTGTTTGCTCTGCTACATTAAAAGACACATGTAATTACTAATTACTTTACAGATTAAAATCTCACATGCAAAATAAATAATGCGCTCATAAAACATGTTGCATTACTTGAGTTGAATATAGTCAGCAGAATATAGATTCAGCAGACCAGCCACATCATTAACATGCTGTTTAGAGAAAAAGGCGGTAATCATGTAGGATAACATTTCTGTTGCTCAGGGTGAAGGTTATTAAAATCTATGCTAACACAGACAGCTCATGAAAAAATAATAGTGTACCAATGTGAAAGAAAGATGTTTCACTTACACCTTCATTAATAAATAATTTTGACCACTTGGGGGCAGCACAGCGGGCTGTAAACACAATATTGACATACTATCACCTTTAAAAAGTTATTTTAGTAAATGTGTTGGCAAACAGATGCTGATACACCCAGCAAACACGGACTAACATTAGCATTAACTAGCATCAATATTCAAGCACACATTAGCATTAGTATTCATTTGGAGTTGTATTTGTGGCCATGTGATGGATGTGGCCTAGTTCACTTTCCTTTTAGGTGCTGGTTTTCAGCTCCTGTAGTAAATATCAGGCTCTTTATAGATGCTTTACTATGTTCACCAATTAGTCGCTACCCATGCCCTTCTTTCCCAGAGATTGATCAAACACTCACATTTGGCCTCATTTGACATTGCCAATGACGGTCGTTCACATTTGGTCTCAGGTGACTCTAACGACCAAAATGACTGTTAAATACCTGGGACTCCATTTAAGAAACCTCTTGGATGTAAGATGAAAATTTTTTGAAGTACCTTCAAGTCCAGTTGCTCTTGATTTAACCCTCCTTGGGTACACTATTAACAATAATTAACAATAAACTAAGGAAGTTCTGCCCATGTTTGTAAAATCAAATTATCATATTGCCACCTCTTCTGATCTGCTCATTCTGCCCCTCTACAGTATTTCTCCAGACCATCCTCATCAAGTTGATTAGTGTACTGAAGGGTAATCCATACTTACTAAATTGGTTTAATCCGTCTATCTCGGTTGTACATGGCCTTGTCTTTGTCACGGCTAAATGTAACATGATTAGTGAGGCTTTTTGTGGCAGTCGCAGACATCCAAGGTATCCTGCCTCAACAGCCTCAGCACAAGCCTGGGGACGTACTGAGAGTCGCGTAAATGTCAGGTCTGTTTCCTGAGACAGCAATTACTAAGCCACCTGTTTCACCAAGATTGTCCGGACTTGTGGACATACACAGTTGACACTGTTCATGAAATGCATTCTTTAATATTTTTGAACTGTCAAAAAACTATTTTCTTTACCATGGAAAAACATGCATACTGAGACAAATTAAAACAATCGCATCACTTCAAAGTCTACTGCTTTCCAACCACTCCACCTTGTTCTCCTCTGTAGTCCTTAAGTTTCTGAGCGTAAGAGACAAACAGAGTCCCTTTAACTATAGTAACTCACTCTCACTCCTGCCTGTGTGCGCACGGTGCGAGAGGAGAGATACACAGTGACTGAGATTACTCTGAGCAGCATGCAGGGGAATAAATTAGACTACAATATAACAGAATTTTGCATGCTTCTCACTTTCCCCCTGATGGTCGGAATACATCATTAGATTTGTTGCTAGTCACTTTTTACAAATAAAGTCACTGAGAATCTGAAAATGTAGTCAGCAGACCAAACCACTGTGAGGCATAAGAGGGTGGAGGACATAATCTTTCAAAATTTTCAAAATGCATTGGATTAGTAGAGAACAAGAACCGTTGACTATTACTATACTATTACTACTGTGACGAGTATAAGTATATTAAAGTAATGTACAATTAGTATATAACACCAAAATATATATGAAAAGCAATATGTACATAAGTTTTATTATTTGTTGAGTAAAATTTGAATACACTACACCATCAGTGGTATTAAATTAAAACTGCTCCAGCATGCTTATTTTTTTACTTGCAGGGAACTTGTTGCTAAGATCCGTGTTGCATCACAGGTTTAATGCAAAAGCTCTATCACTAAGTTAGGGATGAAAGCAATTTCTTTAACTCCTAGTAATATGCCAACCATGATTGATTTAGACCTCCAACCCTTCAATCACAGCTGGTACCTGTTGTACCCAGATATTGCACATAGAGCAAATTGGGTTTCTAAACTGGGAATGTATTATGATAGAGAGAGTGAGCATGCATATTTTTCAACCTCACTATTTGGTAAGTTGTGATAAAGGGAGTGTAACCACTACTCTTTCTGATGAATTTAAAGAGTGGGAATAAAACATGCAGTTTGGGAAATGTAATAAAAACCAGTAACTGCAGGAGAGCGTGTTGTGTTTTGAGGGGAGAGGAAACATTAGTAGTAAATAATTTCCCACCCAATAGACCCATAAACTA